TTGCCATGTGGTACACTGAAAAATTGCAATAGCAGGTTAGTCACCAAAGTTTTCGAGCCGCTCCGTCTGTCACTTCGTTTGTGCTTATACATTCCATAAGACAAACCACATAGGTCATATTAGAATGCATAAAAGGTATGTGTGACCGCTTGTACATTTCATTTGACACATGATCTTTATTAACTTTTTGCAAGGCGTCTGCTTATTAGTTGACTTATACATTTTATGAATAATCAGTAATGAAAATTTGCCAAAAGGTATAAGGAGATTTCTATCCGTGTACAGAGAAATGTCAAACCGAGTAAAAGTAATTGCATGTTCTACTTTATCGACATTGAAAGGATCAAATTTAAACAAAAATATTGATGAATATTTCATCTCTTTCACTCTTACACACTTGCTTCCGGCTTCGCCTAGATTTTTTTATGTGATTGATTTAGCGACTCGAACCGAGGGTCAAGATTTAATAATTTATTCTGTGCGCCTTAACAGAACAACCTATATAAGGCCGCTGGAAAATATCAATCTAAGAAAGCGTAAAGAGGAATTACCAACTATCGATTTTAAATTGGCTCACTACTTGACTAGCCTATTGGTCCCAAGCAAATCGATTAACGTGCCCCATTCTAGTATAAATTCCAGAACTACACTATGTTTGTTTTGATTCACTATGAAAGTTTGACAGACAAAATGAGGGGTTAGTAGATTTTCCTATGTTTCGAGGGGTGAATCGATTAGCTTGGGACCGAAGATAGTACCAGCACAGACAAACAGACGTAACTCTTCATTGTGTATCTTCGTTCATGCATTTAACGGTTGATTTGAATATTATCAGTTCCGCGAACTACTCGCCGCAGCGCTGGCATCGGATCACTTTGACGTTTCTATATATTCTATAGAAATTTTATGCAATATTGTTTACGAGTTAGCGAGCAAGCTTGTTTTCCGCGAGAAGCCAGATAGATGTCGTTACTGAGGTTATATGTTTTGAGATACTATGTTTTCAAGAACAAGAACAAGAGCTTTTACGAGTGCTTACATTAGACCTACACGAAACGGAAATCAATTATTTAATTCATGTGTTTCACTTATACATTTTTGCCAAAGCATCAGCCTTATACATTCCATAAGACAAACCACATAGGTCATATTAGAATGCATAAAAGGTATGTGTGACCGCTTATACATTTCATTTGACACATGATCTTTATTAACTTTTTGCAAGGCGTCTGCTTATTAGTTGACTTATACATTTTATGAATAATCAGTAATGGAAATTTGCCAAAAGGTATAAGGAGATTTCTATCCGTGTACAGAGAAATGTCAAACCGAGTAAAAGTAATTGCATGTTCTACTTTATCGACATTGAAAGGATCAAATTTAAACAAAAATATTGATGAATATTTCATCTCTTTCACTCTTACACACTTGCTTCCGGCTTCGCCTAGATTTTTTTATGTGATTGATTTAGCGACTCGAACCGAGGGTCAAGATTTAATAATTTATTCTGTGCGCCTTAACAGAACAACCTATATAAGGCCGCTGGAAAATATCAATCTAAGAAAGCGTAAAGAGGAATTACCAACTATCGATTTTAAATTGGCTCACTACTTGACTAGCCTATTGGTCCCAAGCAAATCGATTAACGTGCCCCATTCTAGTATAAATTCCAGAACTACACTATGTTTGTTTTGATTCACTATGAAAGTTTGACCGACAAAATGAGGGGTTAGTAGATTTTCCTATGTTTCGAGGGGTGAATCGATTAGCTTGGGACCGAAGATAGTACCAGCACAGACAAACAGACGTAACTCTTCATTGTGTATCTTCGTTCATGCATTTAACGGTTGATTTGAATATTATCAGTTCCGCGAACTACTCGCCGCAGCGCTGGCATCGGATCACTTTGACGTTTCTATATATTCTATAGAAATTTTATGCAATATTGTTTACGAGTTAGCGAGCAAGCTTGTTTTCCGCGAGAAGCCAGATAGATGTCGTTACTGAGGTTATGTGTTTTGAGATACTATGTTTTCAAGAACAAGTTTTTCAAAGAGTTACGTCTGTTTGTCTGTGGTACCAGAGCTGAGCCAAAAAGTTGAACACGTTTTTTCGGGACCTACTAGTCTTAGAGTTACCTCTATGGAATTACCCTGATGGTAAATTGTTAGCTTTTTTGTACTTTTAGCTACTTGAGAAGGGATGAAATATTGAAACAAACATGAGGCGCTTGCAATGGCGCAATTTTACTCAAATTATATCATGAAGGATAGTAACAAACATTCGGTTCCGTCTGATGTTATTGATTTCCTCTTCCATCCAATCGCAGAGCTTCTACAGTGATGGCTATTGTACTGCAACTTCTTATCACCCTTTAAATAGCTACTATCGATGTTAAACGTTATCGTATCGTTCAAATCCTGGTTCAAATCCTTCTGTAACACCACCTGCATCTTTTTCTTCCGAGGGGATGGTCCTAGGCACGTGTAGGCAACTGTTCTCCTCTTTGCCTCCATCTCGGCCTCCATGTATCCGCTCAATAGACATTCTGAATGATTGAAGATTTGCATTCGCTATTGTTTTTATAATAAACTCACAGTACCACCCAACTTGAAATGACAGATCACTGCATCAATTTGGCATAATAGAAAGCTTACAAGCATTACAAGCTCACTGGCTTTCAAGACTTAATTAGTTGCGTTATATGTGATTATAGGGCCCGACAAACTGCTTGCCAGCACTTTATGAGTTAAATGCTTGTTGGCATCATGCTGTGCTTTATCATGCTGTCAAATTATTTGTAAACCAGTTTATTGCTGATCTGTAGTTTCCGGGTATAACGAATTCTGAATTAAAGTAGATATACAGTTTATTATTAATGCTTGTGGTTACTTGGGTAATGTCCACGTTCGTTTTTGTTCGAAAAAAAATTCTAAGTGTAAACAGTACCACTGAACTATCAAAAAGTTCATCCGACAAACGCTGAGTTTATTCGTGACGTCACGTTACAGAACCTTATATTAATAATTTATTTGTGTAATATTTTTTGTTGGTTTTTCAGTATTTTTATTTATGAATAAGTCAGTAAATTCTGTAAATTCATTATAAGTCAGTAAAAAAGTTACCAAACAGGGAAGCCGTGCTTAAGAGTGTAATGGCTGTTAGAAGTAACATCAATATCATCAAATTCTGACAGGCAAACCAGCTCCTTTCATTTCGTAAAGTTAACTACCGAGCAAAGCATATGATGGGTATAGATGGTGATGCTTTGTCACTATGTCACGGGTGAGGAGATCGCGTGGGGTGGAATATGGCTTTAGAGCAAATTGTAAACAAACTCGATGCCTCCTCCATACAAAAATCCAACATGGCTGAATCATGAATTTGACACATAGAGCTGGAATTAGGGTGTAACAGCTTTTGTTAACATCGACTTTTTTCTATCATTTCTAGAAAGTCAAGGCTCACTAACGCAAATCAACATCATCGGGTAAGGGAAGACTTCCCCTTCCCGACGGTTATTTTGGTTTGCGTGGGCGTGCCCAAGGGCGTGTCTTGAATTCATAGAAATCATCTAGAGACGTCATTGCTGTTCTGCCCTTATTCCAGCTATATCTAGATGTAATCACCAGCAGTGCATTTTGACAGTTCGATCGCTCTCAAAAATATTACTAAGCAAAGAAAGATTTAAATTTCATCGCTATACACTCAAAAAATATTCAAATCTAAATAGTATGAAAAGTTGTTCCAAAATGTCTAGCAACATTTTCAAAGTGCATAGAATACCAGTTGCCATCCGCGATTAGTGTATAAAAATAAAGAAAAATTGTGTGAATTCTATCGACAACTTTAAAAAATGCCGGTCCATCTAGAGCCGTTCAAGAGCGACATCATTGGAGTACGGAAGGAAGTTGGTGATGCTTCCGCTCCAGAAGGAAATCTCGTTTGATGAGATTGAGTTGCAGAATATGTCATCAAAAAGCCGATGATTGCCATACGTATAATAAGTACGCCATAAATGATACACGGATCGGAAGAGTTTATTCATAACGTGATCGGAATTCAGTTTCGGAATGTCCGGAGAACTTTGAGATTAGGGCGTAATTGCTTCTGTAAACAAACACGTCAATCGCCGATTTCTCGCAAATTAAGACTCAATCCAAAAAATTAATGGCACAAACAGGTAGATAAAGGATTCCTCTATCATTCAGTATGGTTTATTCGCGAGATTGAGTTTCAATTCACGAGAAATCAGTGATAGACGTGATTGTTTACAAAGCAATTACGCCCAAATCTCAAAGTTCTCCGGATGTGTACTACGAGTACGAACCGACACTGTTGATTCTGTACGAAGTGGTTAATACTTTCCCAGAGTAAGGCATGAGATTGAGTAGACGGAATGGGAGTTCATTTTTCTTAGATCAACAGATGCATCGCCGTCGTGGTGGGGTTCACTATATTTTTGCATAGAAATTATTTCATCGTTTGTAATCAGTGGAAAATGAAAACAAATGAAAATTACAGCAACGGTGAACTCAAAGTTTAAATAAACACCGAGTATCTATCTAAAGTATACATGCCATTTATACTTTTTCCATGCATAAACCTCGGCATAAACCATTTTTATACTAAATGTGTATTCTCTCTCGTGATAACAACCCTAATAAAAATTGTATGGTTAATTTGCTTAACGACGTGTTCTGGGTATCATCCAAACCATTTGTGGAATAGTTCAATGATTTGGGTTATCGTTCGTTTATGGTTATTTTTTATTAGGGAAGTTATGCGTCGGTCAGAAGAGTTTAGCGATTTAGCGTAACTTTTAATTTATGTTGAACAAAAAATCTTTTGAGTGTTGATCAGCTTTTTGCAGGCGTCCATTCTTTTACTGTAGGGCTTTACTTTAGTTCAGTGCTCAGATATTTTGCACCAGGTCGTACACGAAGTATCCAAAGACCCAAAGCTTAGGCAATCCGAAAACTTGCGGCGCACTCAGTCTAGTTGGAAATGCTCGCGTCGCAGGTTCTGCTGCTTCATATCGCTGCTTAGGATTATTATTTGTGTTTTTGAGAATTTTTCAGAGAATTTGAAGTGATTTATTTGATTAAAATGGATTATTGAAGTAACGTGTGAATTTGGATTCAAGTGTTTGAGTTTATGCGTGAAGTTTTGATCTATAAGTTCGGACAATAAATTAATTTTTTTTCCAAGTGAAAAAGTACCGCAGACATGTTTTCATTTCGGGCAATTTTACGGTCTTTGGCAAAAGGTGGTTACGTGAATAAGTGCGGATGTTAAACTCCGATGGGTGATTTGATTATATTCAACCAGTGATTTTGGTTCGAAAAGGTGTGTGATTGATTTAGTGAAAATTTTCTCCGGTTAAAAATTGCTAGACAAGCAGAGAAAATAGGGGAAAAGTTGCACAAAAGATTACACCAAATAAGGCTGTGTGCGTACGTGAATGAATAAAGGTGAACGTGTGTGAGTGCCTACGCTAGACAGGATAAACGCAGGAAGACAAAAAGGATATCCAGTTTGTACACAACATAAATACAGTGGCAGGCAGTAGTGTAGCATAAGCATAGACAAAGCGAGGGCCTGTTGGAGTTTTTTTTTTTTCGAGACCTGTGTACCCTATTCGTGTGCTGCGGAAACGCAAAACGCTCCGCTCCTCGGATCAAAGGTGGTCACAGACGAATGAGAAAAAGTGCAGCCGCAGCTCTCCACGAATGCGCCCACCGATAGGTCGACATTCCGTGTGTTTGTGTGAGGTAAGTGTATTTTTGATTCGGGAAAAGCGTATGGCCCAAACGCCCGGTAGAACTAATATTGTTTTGTGCTTCGATTTCCTTTTCATCACTATGGGCTTTTGGAGAAGACAAAAAGGAGATTGAAAATTAAAATCAAAATTAAAAGGTATACCTTTTATAATGATTATTACTTAAAATATTAAGTAGACCGTACACCACCAGAAGTGTAAGTCCATCCAATTTAATCCCCTTTTTGTATAAAGTAAACTTTATTCAATGCATTTCCAAAAGTTGTTCAAAAGTAATTTTGAAGAAAATTTCAAAGTCTGTACGCGATACAGTTTTGTAAGATAGATATTCTGCCCATAAAAGCATATGAATAGTATGAAAAGTTGTTCCATTTCATATGAATATGAAATCAAGCAAAGATTGCGCTTTTCACACCAAATTAATTAACTTGAAGACGGGTTATTTCGCTCCGAATACTTGCCCTAATAAAAATTGTATGGTTATTTATGGTCTCATCCAAACCATTTTTAGAAAAGTTCTATAGTTTGGGTTATCGTTCGTTTATGGTATTTTTTATTAGGGTGACCTTCAATATAACCTATTCAAGCAAATTGTAGAAAAAAAACATACACTTGGTTTTTTACTTTAAATTAGTTTATTTGTTAGGCTCAAATGTTCAAAAGGACTACACGGAGCCGAGAACAATTAAAACGACTAAAAAGTTCAGAGCAAATTGTGATTAGGAAGGAAACTAGCACAATGTAAACAAATAGAGAAAAAACGAGCAAGTTTGCACGTATTAATTCATTTAATTTTTAATTGAAAGTTTTGCAATATATGTTACAATGCAATTATATTTATAACGGCGCCGGTGGTGTAGTGGTAAGCGTGATTACCTCTCATCCCAGCAGGCCTAGGTTCAATCCCAGTCGGCGCCGCCGGGATGCTCTGAGGCATAACATCTCTGATCACGCCTTCCTTCGGATGGGAAGTAAAGCCGTTGGTCCCCGGTTCATGAGTTGATGGGTCGATAGGTAGGGTCCAGGTGTGGGAGCTGCCTTCCTGGCACGTCGGTAGCATTGGTGCTCAGCACGGAAAACAAGATCGACGGAAAAAAACAAACCAAAGGAAAAAAAAAAAATTATATTTATGATCGTAAAATTAATCCATTTTATTTTTAGATAAACATTTCAAAAGGTCCTATCTGACATTTGTAAACAAATCGAGTTTAATGCTTCTCTGTACTGCAGAGTTCACCACCTCTAAGTTTTATTTTTCTAGAAATTTTAATTATCAATAATCAGAAATTTAAAAAAAAATGTGTGAAAAAACGTCAAATTTATATAATACCTCATGATTGGACGTTAAACATATTTACTGCCAATCTGTCATTCAACCAAAAAAATTGACAAATTTTAATAGGATCTTTGTTTCATCTCGTGTTTAACGTGGAATAGAAAAACTAAAACTCATAATAATTGGTTGGAAATGCTATACTAACATCAACAAGAAGCTTTAGCGTGATAATTTATTAGCTATAAAAAGGCCTATGGATCAAACATCTAACCGGGAAGTGGGAGATGAGAAAGTTTCATTTACGATGCCTGTAAACAATCGCTCTGGTTCTGGATATGCCAATCGCGTACCTCTTATGGAGTTGACTAATTAATTACGATTCCAGGAGTACACCAAGGCAAAAACTTAATCAAAATTCTGTCAAATCCAACATGCGATAATACAAGCGTGGATTTACCTTTGGGCCAGCAATGCAATCCAGTGAATCAAAGTTAATAACGCCGAAACGAAGCATTTTCACGACTTGTTGTCTTCGGCAAAGTTTCTCATCATAATAAGGACCAACTATTGACATAAACAAATAGCTCAAAACTCTTCCGCAAAGATGGCGCTACAATCTAACTTCTTTCTCTGACGTTTTGGAGACTTGATGTCTTCGGAAAAGTTGTTTATCTTGACAAAATAAATAACATTTTTGTAGACGTAAAATTTCCACAGCCTACTGGTTCCGAGTTTTATGGAGTTAAAGAAAAAATGGCAAAAATATGTTTTATTTTTGCTTACAACCATATAATCACAGACAAACAGACATAACATATTGAATATTTCTCACTGTAAAACATCGTCGCTAAAACATTACCGCCATCTGTTGAATACACTGTGGTGGGTAGCAAGCTGAACAGATGGCGGTAGTGTGTAAATGTCAAACGCAAGGGAATTGACTATGCCACCACAGGTGGCGGTACTACCAACTACGATACTTTTAAATAGACCGTTAAATGCTTGTTCGATGAACAATTTGCAAGTGTTATGTCTGTTTGTCTGTGATATAATGTTATATTTTTCTCTTATGCAAATGCATTAAATAAAGAACTTTTGTGAAAAAACACTGGTTTAAGCTTCAATTTTTTTAGATTACATTCCTGGCCCAGTGTGCACTGGAGGACAGCGATGTAGGTTTGATAGAATAACATGAATGAATGTAAATTATTGTCAATCCTAACTGATACTGAAAAAACCAAAAGTCCTATGTAACAAAACCACGAATTTAACCTGAAAATTATGAATAAAACGAAAAAAACAAACACTTCAGTCGAATTCTAAAGTCTGTTCCATTTAGAATTTAACCGCACAAAATAGGTCATTTCTCCAAGGGGAAATAAAGTACAAAACGCTAAAGGTATCATTTTGCAGGATTTTTATTTAGCTTTAATATAATAAAATACAACAAAAATTATTCGTCAGCTTTTCAGGTGAATTTTTGAACTTTTCGCGGAATACCTCTCATCATGTCTTGCACAGTTGACAGTACACCTCATCTACCATCCTTTTCCACCACTTCTCCAAATCAGTTGGTGTTTTGATTTGCCACATTTCTTCAATTTGCGCTTGATAATTGCCCAAAATTTTTCAATGGGACGAAAATCTGGACAATTTGGTGGATTGATACTTTTCTCAATAAAATCGACATTATTCTGTTCATACCATTCTAAAGACTGGAACGCACAAAAATTGGTTGACAAAAAAATCGTTTCTTTCAGTCAAAATTCATATCACAAAAATCTTCTAATTTGTCTTTTGGTAGTTCAATTCATATATTTAAAGGAAAAATGTTCGTTTATTCTTTTGGTTTGCCAAATCCGAACTGCGGGTCTTCCGCTTAACCCCTCCATTAATAGCGAATTTGTTTTTGATTCAGTTCCAACCTGGATCGGGTATCAAGATTGGGTCTGCTTGTTGCCTTTCAAACGTCAGTGTTAACGTTTGTTTTTGTAACCTGGCTCGGGTTGAGGTTCGCATTGACAATATGCTCGGGTTCGCACGGGTTGGAACTGGTTCCAACCTGGATAATAAACAAATTCGATATAAATTTTGCACAGTGGTCTCATCGGCGGCAAAAACACCAGTTAGATTTAAACTGCTGCTCGTTTTCCATGGATTTATTAGTTTTATTGAGATTCCGTTTGACCAAGGCCCAATACCGTCCGATAGGGTGCAGTTCTGGGCTGTTGGGAGAGTTGTGGTCTTTGGGTACCACAACCACGTTGTTCGCATCGTACCACTCGATTGCTTTTTTCCCATAGTGGCAGCTCGCCAAGTCCGGCCAGAACAGCACAGGTCTATTATGTTGCTTTAGGAATTGTAGCAGCGGCTTTTCCAGGCACTCCTGGACGTAGATCTCTTGATTGATGGTTCCTGTAGTCATAAAAAATGCCGCTTTTTAGACCCCACGTGCATATGGCCTGCCAGACGAGATATTTTTTCGGGAACTTCGATAGTTTGATGATTTTGAACATTTCAGCCACTTTCCCTTTTCCTGATGCGGTATAAAACTCCTGTCCCGGAAGCTGCTTGAAATCCGCCTTCACATAAGTTTCGTCGTCCATGACGACACGAACTTTGTGAGCAAATTCGTATACAGTTTTCGGGACCGCTGCTTTGCCGACGTGTTTTGTTTGCAATCTCGGTTCGCCACCTTCACTTTCTTAAACGTTGACAACCCGGCTCGTTTCTTGGCCTGATGCACAGTAGTATGGGTGACATTGGGCTTGCCAGCGACGTCCCGGATGGTCGTCGTCACTGCCACGTCCGGATTACTTTTGCCACCGCTTCCAGGCTTCCTGGCGGTCGACAGATGCTCCCCGAACACTTTTAAAGCGTTTGTCACGGTCGATTTGGCCACATCCAGCAATTTTGCCAACTTGGCGTGTGTGAACGTCGGATACTCTTGCTGCACGAGCAAAATTTTGACACGCTTCTCCTCTTGCTTGCACGTTATTTTGAAAACTGGAGAGCAAACGGTGAAAACTCATCATAGCAATCATTGTATATACACTTAACTTCCAAATGCAGCATTTCAGGTTTTTTTAATGCATTTTTAACAGAAATACATCAATTTGAAGTTGACCAATTTTTGCGCGTTCCAGTCTTTATGACATCGCGGCTGTAATAGCAGCTGGCTAAGTCAGACCAGAACTTTACGGGACCTTCGTGTGATTTAATGAACGGCAAAATCATGTTTTGGAGACACTTCTCCTTGTAAAGTTGTCCATTCATAGTCGCTCCAGTGATGAACACCTTTGTTTTTTTTTTTTTTTTTTTTTTTTTTTTAACTCTTTATTTGTTCCAAATTCAAAATAAATTACATTTCATTTTTAACCTAGGTGCTCCAGTTACTGCAGTAACGTACCAGCCTTAATTGTTATGATATATATCTAAGTGTTTTTACATTGTTCATGTCTTGGCAATTAAGTATTTTAAACAGGTTTTTTAACCTGCATGTCAGTATAACAATTGATATCTTAAAACTAAAAACTAAAACTAAATCTTATCTAAGTAGGGTATACGTCCCTAACCTCGGTCTAATATGCAGCCATCGATTACGTTTTTAATCATAACTCATCAATGAATTTACCTGCAAACGATATTCTACTGCTAAATGGTATGCTTAGATATGCTTATCATGTCGTTTGCTATCAGAAACCACGAAAAGTTGA